GTCTTTGCAACTTTACAGATCTTCTTTATGCACCAAGAGCTTGTAACACTCCAAAGAGAAAGGAACAATTGAAATCCCATCATATGACCCCTTTAACGCGGCACTGATTGTGAGATATTATTAGATTAGATTAGATTAGATTATTAGATATTACTAGATTATTAGATATTATTAGATATATAGATGTTTCATGTTTCGAGATTTTTTGTACTTCTCCTTTGTTATCCTTATTTATTTAATAGGTGTCTTTGACAGCTGTGTGTTTCATTAAATAATGGTTTTCTTTCTTTTTTCTAAGGTCACCTTTCAAAACATTGTTTTATGTAGATGTTAACTACTAGATTATTCAAATTATTCCCTTAAATCGTTTGTTTTTCACTATGAAATGTGATCTGAATGGTCTACAGTGAATTCTGGAAATTTGAGTCTGGAAAAGGGAACCCTGTATCAAAGACGGATACTGCATTTTATCATCTATAATACTCTATTGATTCATAGAGGAGCTGCCATTACCGGAGTGTCTATTTACACTAAGTGCAAAGGGCCCACCTTGTTGGCAGAGGCTATTTACATTAGCTCCGCCCACCAATGCGTTATAATAAGGCTCAAGCCCAATTTATACTTCTGCGTCGAACCTACGCCGTAGCCTACGCATAGACGCACACCCTACGTCCCGGGGAAATCAGGGGGCTCCATCTGATATTGCAGAAACATATTTGCAGCATTGAACAATGTAGCCAATCACAGACATATCTGTTAATTTCTTGAATGCAATGACCAGAAGTGTTTAAGTTGGAATCCACTCACCGCTCAATGCCGAGTTAGCTTTTTTTTTAGTTCTGCAAGCTCGGAATCCTCTCATTATAACAAAGTGTAGATTAGGGCTGAACGATTAATTGCAGTTGCGATAATATCGTAAAATAAAAAAATACGATTTTTCAACCGCAGAGGCTGCGATTACACTCGGTCACGTGACACGCGAGAGCAAAGAGGTGTGTTCGACTTGAAGATCAATCAGTGTATGACATCAAAGTACGGCGAGAGAAAGCATAAGGAGATGTCCGCGCTCTTATAGCTCTCGCAGTACTTTGATGGCACACCGATCGGTCTACAGTGTCATTTTAACCACTGCACGTGCGGAACTTAATCCGTTTCAGTTCAGATGTGGTGTGACAGACCGCTGCAAGCGGAGCGCGGAGAGCGACCCAGTCGCGGGTCTGGATCATATCAACAGCTAAAGTGTGGCCCAGATTAGTTCGTGTTTGCCGGCCCAAAACTGGTCCAGATCTTTTTAGCCAGAACTGAACCAAAACAGTGCCATAACCCAACCCAGAGTGAGATGATTACACACACCCATCGGTCTAAGCAGCGCTGCTTCAAGTCGAACACATCTAAGCAGTCTTCAGAGGAAGCATCAAGTTGGCACGCTACAGTGTTGCCAAGTCCGCGGTTTGGGGAACTCCTCCAAAAAAACTTGTATTTTAGCCTCTGGAACGCGATTTTTACCGGTGGACCCCCCTCGAAACACGATTGGGCTAGTTTTGAGTAGCAATTGAGCGGGTTTTGTTGTGAAAACCTGGCAACCCTGGCACGCTGCACGCAGAAATGTTTGAAAGCGTATACATGAACGTACTTCAAAACGGCACAGTAACAGTGTTACGGTGCATTTCATTACTGAAGACTTCGACCGTAAAGTAACAAATAATCACTAGATATGGCAAACCTTGCTAGATTACCCAGTCAGCAAATTTCCTTTGGCGCGGATGTGGCCCATATCAACAGCTAAAGTGTGGCCTAGATTAGTTTGTGTTTGCCGGCCCAAAACTGGTCCAGATCTTTTTAGCCAGAACTGAACCTAAACAGTGCCATAACCCAACCCAGAGTCAGCCAAATACCATCATCCCTTCCCTTTAATTCTCTTTTCTACTAGTTACAACCGGTTATAACGCGAAATAAACATGCTCATGTCATGTAATCTCAATCAGTTTAGCAAAAATGCCAATAAAACAGCATTAGGCCTACCTTTACCTCAGGCAAGCCATTCAGTGTCCACAGCTTGTTGCTAGAAAAGTGCAATGTGCAAATGTGCAGTTTATACCTTTGCATACATTTTATTTTTTTTTTTATTTTTTTTTAGTGTTGGTTATTGTATCTAAAAATAAATAGAAATGTAATTTAATAGATTGGGCTCTGTTGTTAAATGCAGCCTTTAATATTTTAGACCGATCGGTCTAAGCAGCGCTGCTTCAAGTCGAACACATCTAAGTAGTCTTCAGAGGAAGCATCAAGTTGGCACGCTACAGTGTTGCCAAGTCCGCGGTTTGGGGAACTCCTCCAAAAAAACTTGTATTTTAGCCTCTGGAACGCGATTTTTACCGGTGGACCCCCCTCGAAACACGATTGGGCTAGTTTTGAGTAGCAATTGAGCGGGTTTTGTTGTGAAAACCTGGCAACCCTGGCACGCTGCACGCAGAAATGTTTGAAAGCGTATACATGAACGTACTTCAAAACGGCACAGTAACAGTGTTACGGTGCATTTCATTACTGAAGACTTCGACCTTAAAATAATATATATAATAAGGTAATAGATATATTCTTATTTATTTATTTAAAGTCTGTCTAAAGTTACCAGACAGTGTTTAAAAAGTGTAGTCCACGTATTTACATAGGTTTATTACAGTGACTTTGAATTACCTAAAGTAGTGTGGTAAAGCAACAGATTGTTTTTATATTTCTGCAATCTACTTTAGTTTGTGTGATTTGTTACTGACTTTTATATATGAATGTTTACACCAGGCTTATCTGTCACTGCTTCATGTTGTCATAATTATTACATGCTTACAAGGTTGGAAGTTGAACAAATCAGTCAATATACTGTGATTGTAGTTGTTAAATAAAAATGTCATTCATATCAATTCATGCATCACCTAATTTCATCGTAACATATAGGCCTGGCCTACAGAAAAGAACATTTATGTTTAATCTATATAATATTGTGTTGGCCATACTATACAATCGCAGATAGCAAGAACGTGTGGGCCAAATGTGGCTGATAGCTGTCACATTTGGCCTAGGTATGGCATGGCTGAGCACATATGGGCCGAACTTGAACCGTATATGTTTGGCCATGGATTTAGAATTGGGGGGAATTTTCTTTTGGATGACAATTTTTTTGAGGTATAGACTGGCGAGACTTACTAAAAGTATACATTTTTGTACATTTATTCACTCATCTGACATTTGCAAAATAGCACACTTCTGTTATGTTCTGTATTGTAATTCTGTTATTAAAATTATACAATAAACATTTTAAAAATGAGTGTGAATCCATTTTTGTGTTTAAGATTTACTATGTAATGGTGTAATAATAAAAAAAAGGTGTGGTGTAAATATGGTTAAATAATGGATGACCATTTTT